AAATCAATTGTCTTGTGTAACGCATTACGTCCTATTTTTGTCATTAATATTGTCTATTATATTTAAAGTCACTTCAGATTGAAATAATAACTGAAAGGAATTTTTCTAATGATGTTATTTTAAATTAAGAGATATTTCTTAAAAATTCAATTATAAAGCGATAGCATATCATTGAGTTATAGTAAAATCAATCATCTCTGCACCTTTGATAATTAATTTTGTTTGTCGGATATAGAGATAAGTCTACTTTTTCTAAATTCGAACATACAATTTAAATGAAATAATTTCTTCTGTTGCTTTACTATTATTATCATTATTTTTTGTATTCGTTTGATTTATAGGTCACATATATTACTCGGACAATCAGGTAATGGATTCCATTAAGATGGTATCACCATGTTGGCCAAATACAGCTCAATTAACATTAAGTATTCAATGCTCAAACGAACTTATACTTCTTTTACAACGTAATACTCTGCCCTCAATTGAACAATTGAGCGTTACTAATGAAGAGCTACATTTTCCTTTACTACTAAATGAAGGTAAATCAGCATCAGGTATTCGACTTTGTAAACATGATCTACGTGAAAGACTCGATGGTACTCGACTACGATATTTACTGCTACGTTATTTAAGTCTCAGTGATGTTGTTATATTACTTGACGCGTTAACTATGCCTTTACTTGAAAACATGATATTGGTTGATTTGTATGATTATAGTAAGTTACCATTTAATATGTGTTTATCATTTATTCTTGTATTATATCAACTGAAATCATTCAGTTTCTTGTGCTGTCATAGACCAAATGATTAAATCAACTTTTGACACAAAAAGTTGTTCTAAGATATTTGTAAAAATATCTCATCGATAATTTCAGTAGTTGTGTACATTGGTATTATTTCTTTCATTCGTCATATCGAAATAAAGTCGAATTTATTTACTTTTTTGCTTGTAGCATTAGATCATGTTGGTAAATTTCAAGAAGTTTGTGGTTCAACATATTTATCTGCTCTGAAACATCTCCATTTCTCGTTTTGTTTTCCTAAAGAAATCGAGGATTCATGGCGAATCAGTTCTTTTGCTTGCAATGGTCAATGGCCTTTTGACAATCTTGCTTACTACATAGATGAGATTCGGACTTTTGAAGAGAATAGAGCAGTTTTCTCTACAAAGGCCTTATTTATCGTCTACAAGCGTCCAATTAGCTTACACTTTCGGTACAAGAGAACTTTCCACAATCATTGTTTCGCAGCACATACATCTGTTCCCATTATAACAACTCGACGACAATTAATTCAATGGACTAGCGATGTAAAATATGAGCCTGATCATTTAGTGAAAACTCTACAAATACTTGCAAGTGGTCGCGTTAATGAACTCCGCTTGACGTACTTCAATGAATTAGTAAGTACATCAAATTATTAAATGGGAAAAAATAAGTAATGTTAAGAGATAAAATAAATCAAATCAAAATCCTTTGAATATATTGTTATTCATCAAAGTTTTCAATTTCAAGTTAAGGGCTAATTATTCATAGAACATCTACGATTACGAATCTTTTCTAATATTGAACAAAATTATTTGACAAGCTTCAAAGTCAAAGTCAGAATGTATTGTTCAAAAGAGAATTTAAGATAAAATATCAAGTTATCAGTTTAGAACAAATGCATCTCGTCTTTTAATATCACTAAATGTTAAATTAGCTAATATGATAAGATACATAGAGTATGTAACTTATGCATACTTGCAGAATACTATTGATTGATATATATGAAAATGACATCGGATAGCACGAAGAAGTTCATAAGAATCAGAAATCAACACCGATGAAGTTTTTTGCGTATTTTCTAAACACTGAAGAATTATACCAGTATCAGATTCAACATTTAATTGAAGAAAAATAATTCGAGGTGAAGAATATTGTTTAGTCCTCTTTGACAAATGGAGCGTACTGACGATACTATTTAATTACCTTTGCCATGTATCTCTATGAAAATTTGATTTTGTTAGAAGTTTTAAATGGATAAGTATGGAATATGTGTAAAGATACTCTACTTATTGAACAGATAAAAACATGTCTAAAAAATGGTAAAGCTCATAATAAATATATATATTTTTTTCTTTTTTTAGTTAAATGCATCGATGACATTACATTATCCTTCCAGTTGTGATTTGTTGTTTCGTCATCTACGATCTTTGACTTTTAATTTCCTATCAAAATCAATATCAAAGTTAGAACGTGTGACCATTATCAAACAAATACTGGATGCATCACCAAATCTTTCACATCTTGTAGTGCCATGGGAGGATTTTCGTGAATGTTCACATAGCTACTTAAATCTTCGACATGTCAATCTCATATTAGAACGATTATATCCCGAACCTATAGAATATTTCAATGTTGATCGATTAGCTCAATTAGCACCTTATCTATGTTCTCTTGAAACAAGTCGTGAAATTATTAAGTTAAACGAAAATCTTGTTCAATTTATTTGGAAAATTATTCATCGATTTGATCAATTAGTGTATTTAATAGTGAACAAAGACTGTCTTTATCGATCGAAGCATGAAAAACAGAAAATATTCGAAGAAAGATTATTAGCAGTTGGACATAATCAACTATTTAATTGTAATAATATTAAAATTGAATTTCGTAGATACGACGAACTACGTATTTGGCTTTAACCTAATTATATCGATGAAGATTTCTAATCAAAAAATCTTTTTTGTTGATGTTTGAGCATATCATAATATTTGTAAAAGATGTTTTCAAAAGATTTTGATTTATTTACTGTTTAAATCTATCAATTGAAAAGTTTCAATTTAGAATATGTATTTTTACCCAAATGTATAGAACGATTTGTGTAACAAATCATGATTTTCTTATATAAAATTTAAATAGAAAAATCTGAAAAAATATGTTTTTTTTTGAATAGCATTATTTTCGATAAGTTTCTTGCTAGAAAAAGAAAAATTTTGATTTCATTTTTTCATAAAACGGTATATGTAAATAGGTATTTTTTAAAAAGAAAATTTTTTTATATACGGAGTAGGTGCTGCTATTGGATCATTGATTAAGTTCATGTATACATATATGTGTCATCTTTTTTTTTCTTTTCTCTCACTACACATAAAGAGCTTTGATTATCTTAAAATATCAAAGAACAAGTAAAATAAAGCATGTCATTAACTACAATGAATAAATTTATAAATGATATTGAGATAGGTCATTTTGCTTCTTCAAATGATTCGTTAGCAACGACAGGCATCGGTCCATGTATTGGATTCATCATATTGTTGGACGATTATCAACATATATTAATTGAACATCGAAGTTCGATAAACTTACCACGTGAATTTGATTTGGACAATGTTCGTTCATTGTTGAAGGATCTCGTTAGACATGTAACTACAACATTACCTGGATTAAGTATTACGTAAGTTTATTAGATAAGATATTCTGAAACTAACAATATTGACAATAGAGTATTCTCTAGAAAAAAAAGACACTTGTTCTCTTTTCTCTCCTTAACTATTCGAATAAGATATATCGATGTCTGTACTATTAAAATAGATTTTTTCGTCTCAAATTATTAGCTATAAAAATTTCAAATAATCTTAAGTTATTCCAGAAAATATAGATAAAACATTTATCGTGTAACAATAAAGATAAAGAAGTCTTACCTACAGAGACAAAGAGAAATACATAATTTGTTCTTGGGAAATAAAAATAAATTTTTCTATTAGTATGTGGATGAACTGCGCTTGTATTGTACGATTGGACCAAAAAAAAAATAAAAGTGATCTTGAAGAATATTTGAATCGCACATTCGATAGAGCTTCATTAATTGTGTAATAATCAAGTATTTTCCTAACTGTCAGTTTTTTCATTTCAGAAAAAAAAATTGATTTTTATTAAAATTCCATATTTTCCGAGATTTCTTAACATCAATTAATATATTGTTATTATATATCAATTGAAAGGTCTTGAAGAGAAGAATCTAATGAGCATACGCAGAACTTTATCGGCACATATACATACCTATAATAAGAGCGCAAAGGTGCGAATGAGACTCACCATCACCTGTACCCTCTTACGTTTAGTTTTTTATTTGATATAGAAGGTCCTTAGAAAAATTGTTGTTTATCAAAAGATTTCTCATTCTTTACTCTACCGAATAGTAAAAACATGGGCGTTTACTTTTGCATGGGTTTCGGTAGATTGAATTTTATCTGTCGGAACATGAACTAGCCAAAGTGTATGTTTAGCTAATCTTTACAAAATTTGATCAGAAAATCAAAACCAAAGCTGTAATCAATCTATATGATGAGAAAGACGAAAGTTTTAGCTGCCAAATGGTTACAGTAAATTATTTTTATCTATTTAAAATTGTAACATAATAGGAGTGATTTTCGTCGATGGGTGGACCAAAAAAGCAGTCACTTTGACCTTCCTTGCTTGAAAATTTCATAGCTATGATAGCCAAAACCCTTAATAGTTTTACGGTAAGTAGGATAGAGTCTAAGGAGTATTTCAAAAAATAAAATTATTAAAATTGGTTGAGTACACATTGAGATATAAGCGTTTTAGTGTTGGGAATGCAACTGTACAACATGAACGCAATTCACCCATATGTGTACGGTGGATATGAAAGAATAATATAATACATTTATTAATTGTGTCTCATCAAAGATTATATTTATTTATACTTGCTTCCTTACTTGGATGTTTTTGTTGGAGAGAAATTTTATTTTCTTTTATTCAATTTCATACTCCGTCTAACTTTCTAAAAAAACAAGCAATTCATGCATTTTTACTTGATCTATTACAGACTTACATCTTTCATTTTATGGACAAATTTTCTCTTCTAATGTCTAAAAAATAAATGAATACTTATTAGAATATGCGAACTTTTTTCTAGAGGTGTCTTGATTTTTGGTGGATTAAAAGATAAATCTTATTTTAACAATCTTCATACTTTGATCAATAAAATACTTCACACTGGTGTTAATCCTGATGATGAAAATGAATCGATTCATTATAAACAGCTATTAAAAAATGTATTGTGTAATAACGTATGTTTCAATTTGCCATCTGCAATACCACACATTACTGGCGAATCCAAATGTTCGGAATTGACATTTTAGTCCTCCAGCGGATGTTCGAAAAAAAAATCTAACAGATGTCCGTAACTAATGAAACGGATGTTCGTACGGTAAAGAATGGATGTTCGGAATGAATTATATCATATGACAGAGTTACGAAAGATGGATGCTCGGAACGCAAACATAGGGATGTTCGAGACAAAATAAATAGTGTGCAAAACAGACTTCGATATAGAGTGGTAGATGAAGGAGAAGATGTTTCATAATCTCGAGAGTAAAAACTCGAAAAAAATAATACTATCAGTCAAGAAGTGATAGAGATTTACTGTTTTTTGTTATTTATTTATTATTGAAATGTTTCTATCTTTGTGCCATTGTATTTCTTAAGAGCTCGACTTTATATCTGTGAATATTGTTCTTTGTTCAATAAACCTCATTTATTTCTTATAATGAAAAGATGAAGCAAATGGACAGGCAAGGAAGTTTTGATAGTGAAATATTCCTTCCCGAACCATCCTCGAAAAAGAGTGAATAGAAGTTTGTATCTCAGTACACCCTTTACATCTGTGACTATATGTCTAACATATTGTGTACTGTGTTGTGACAGGAAGACCGTTCCGAATATAGGTTAACTAGAACTAAAGCGCTGCACTAATAAAAGAATCACATCTTCGTTCCGAACATCCCTTCTTTTCTATTCCGAACTCCACGAACATCTGTTTATTGTTGTTACGAATATCCCTATATTTTCATTACGAACATTCGGTAGTTTTTTTTACGAACATCCGCTTATTTTTCGATGATCGTTCCGAATATCCGTATTTTTTTAATTCCGAACATCCGATATTGTTATCATAAAAATGATGATTTTTTGAAGAAAACGGACGTTCGGAATGAAAAGTAGCGACGAAACGTCAAAATGCCGACTCATCATCCTTTCGGTGTTTTTAACAGAGGTGTTTCATTGCTGAATTTGCTAGTATAAGGATTCATATAGAGCATAACAACATCGTGATCGATCGATTCATGTTGCCATATAGCAAATATAAGTTTCGTTTTCATGTCATAAGTCATCGAACAAAGAAAATGAACATGGAGCATGAGATGAAATTCAGTAACAATATCATATTTTTTACCAACAAGATTTAAATCCATTTTGATGAAATATGCATTGCCACTGGGATTTTCAAATCGTGTTCGAACTTCGATAATCCAATTTTCTTCGTAGTTAAATGCTGAACAGCTAGGGTGTGGGTATGGATGTATGGATAAAGCGAATATCTACACTCACACCCACACCCGCCCTTTGATGTATTGCGCTAGTCTTTTTCAAACTCAAACAAAAACAAAGCATAAAAATCATATATTGGCTTCACAGAGTGTTCTGCCTTATTCTGTTCCATACTCATCTGTAAGCGTCTCGATTTCTTAGCAAATATAATACTATTGTAAATGTAGATCCGTTCTCCTTTCTTTTTTTGTTTTTATTTCGTTTCATTCTTCACCCAAAAAGGTATGTTTACAACATGCTTCGATTAATCTTTTAATTAAATTTGTTGATTTTTAGAATACTTTCTCAATGGTTTACAAGTATCGATGGCTTTTATGTCGAGTTTGTTCTGCATTATGTTGAAAGTGTATTAGCTATTGGCACAGGATTCTACTATCGGTTTTGTTCAATCTCGTTTCTGCAGACTCTTTGCCCTAATGCATCTATAAACATATTCGAACATCTTTTGGTTAGGTTGCTCACGTCTATGACTGCTAATAGGATGTTATTTTCTAGTACAGCTAAATAGTATACAATACAATCTCATATGAGTCGCGCAGTCAAATGGTGGTTTTGTAAGGTTGAACTAATCGTTAAAATCCACGGACAATGTGTCGGTTTCGCCGTTAATGTTCTATATGCCTAAACAGCTTCTATTAGTGTCACTTTTATTTCATGTAATCCGCATGATGTAAAGCAAAATAACGTTTTGGTGAGAATGAACTCATGTTTTTCTTTTTGTGTTCTGTATAAGATATGAGATAAGATTTTTTTGCAAAATCATTGTTGTCATTCTTCTTTTCTACTCCATACATGATTACAAAACACTTTCGTGCATTACAACTAATTTAAGATGAAACTGATTCTTTCGTTTTTGATACTTATTATTACTCTTGTGTGCAAAACTAATGGGATACATGCTCATGCCGAAATGTTTCTTGCAGGAACAAATGATTTTATTGGAACAATCAACTTTAACGAGCAGGAAGAAGCTTGGGGTGTAATCATATCTGGTTCTGTTAATCGCCTGAGACCTCTGGCAACATTGGTAAATCTTTTACTATACTTCATTTCGTCTATATTTCCATCTATTTGACGCAAAACTCTCTATGAACTATATGTCTATTAGGGTTTCCATATCCATTCGCAACCTATTGGAGACAATCATAATTGTAGCGCTGGTGGTGCTCATTTCAATCCTTACAGTAAGTTTCGTTCTGTACAATCGAGCGATGATCAATGTATTTTATCTCTTATGATAGATACTTCTCACGGGATGCCCAAAGATTCTCTTATGCAACGGCATGTT